CATAGGGAATCTGCATTTCTGTCCATCCGGTCCTGGGATTCGCACAGCTCTGCCACGCAGCGCAGCCCTGTTTCACTTGCAGGCCCCCACCCTTGCCATCGTTTTTTTTTTATTTTTTTGCATTTCTGTCCATCCAGTTTTGTAATTTACACAGCTTTGCCCCTTTCGGCTGAGATTTCACTTACACGCCCCTTTCCCCGCCCTCATTTTTTAAAATCTGTATAAGGATTTGCATTTCTGGCCATCCGGTCCTGGAGTTCGTACAGCTCTGCCACACAGCCCTGGCGGCTGCGGTTTCACGATCTCTTAAAGGTCCCCTCCCCCCCTACTCCAGTCCTGGGATTGGCACAGCTCTGCCACACAGCACTGTCGGCTGCGGTTTCACTATCACGTACAGGTCCTCTCCCCACCTCCAGTCCTGGGATTTGCACAGCTCTGCCACACAGCCCTGGCGGACGAAGTTCCACTTTCACTTACAGGTCCCCTCCCCGCCCTTTTTTTTAACTTGCACAGGGATCTGCATTTCTGTCCATCCATTTCTAGGATGCGCACAGCTGCGGCTTCACTTTCACTTACGGGTCCCCTTCCCCGACCATCATCCAATGACTGGACAGTGAAAAGAGAAGCAGCACACTGTTGGCTCATTTATCTGTCACTCCGCTCTCTCTTCCTATCAGCATGGGTGTTCAGAAGGGTATGCCAACAATCGTTTGCCAGGTGGTCGCGGCCAGGACCGGTGCTAGACTATTTTGCACCCTAGGCAAGACCAGCTACTTGCATCCCCCCTCCCATGGCGCAAAAAACAACCCCACCCCCCTCATAGCCCCAATCTCCTGCGGGGTAGCTTCTGCAGGCGACAGATGGATGTAATTTCATTTGAAATAGCCAATAGCAGACTGGCTATTGAAACCCCGCCCACTGAGAAGAGGAGCGAACCTGAGAGAGAAAGTTGTCTCCCAGTTACGCTCCTCTGCTCAGTGGGCGGGTGCAATAGCCAGCCTGCTATTGGCTTTTGCAATTTGAAATAGACGGGAGGTAGACATGGGGGGTGAATGCTCAAAACTGTGCCCTAGGCAACAGTGCGCCCTAGGCAGTTGCCTAGTTTGCCTAGTGGCAGCACCGGCCCTGGTCGCGGTCCCATTGGCTTCAATGGGCAGTTTGGTCAAATGCAACATGTCAAGGTGAATGTGCTGCTCTGAAGAGTGAAGCGCAGCAGCAAGGACCGGACCTGATTGGCTGCCATGTAAATGTATAGCTGGGTGTTCCGGAGGGCATAATATCGGGGGGCTGATTGGCATTGTTTTGCCCCCCAACCTTGAAATCAACATGGCGGTCGCTCAGGTACGTAGACATCCCTTTG